GACAATTATTAACATCTTAGAAAAATTTCACTCATATTGTAGCTGTATAGAATTTACTGTGCAAACCGGCAATATTCCATTACTCTCTTATCCATTTTCTCTTTCCATATGGTCCATAAACTATGGTAATAATAAGTGAAATATATATATTTATATTGTAATATATATATATAATATAAATATATATATTTTGTATATATATATATTTAATATTTATATTACAATATAATATAAATATATATACAAAATAATATAAATAAATATATATATAATAATATATGTATCTTTATTAATATATATATATTTTGTATATATGTATATTTATAAAATCATTCCGTATTTCAGATATCCATATTTCAGCAAAGTGTGTTAATAAAATGTATACAAGCTAATAGTAAGCAAAGTTAATAGTTAATAGTAAGCGAATTAAAGTCAAAGAGAAATTCTAACTTTAAATAGAGAAAATTGAAAAAACTCTCCCTCAGTTCACTGGAACAGGGCAACGTTTGCAGCTTTAATGAAAACAAATTCTCGCTCTCGTGAAAAGATCTAAACTGTTATCATAAATTTAATAGTAGTATTAATAAATAGTTATATATACACCCATTTGCAGACAATATAATTTGAAAGCATGTAGTTCAGCACACTTAAGGACACGCCACACACACAAAATAAATTAAATACTTAATATAGACCCGTGTCTAGGACGTCCGTTCTTTTCCTTCCCATGCGGTTGTTCTTTAGCTGTTCCAGCGACGTTCAGATTCAATTGTGCGGTTGATGCCGTAGTCGCCTCGTCGTCCGACTCTATTGGACTGATTCGGATAGCTTGGTACCATTGATTCGTCAAATCTGTCATCTGCGACTTGCAGTCCTTCAACTCCTGCTGCGTGAATCGCCTCGTGAAGAACGGAATGAAAAATTTCAGATCCCACCTTGCGAAACCGCGAATCCGCGATTGCAAGAAGGATACTTCCATTTCTTCCTCCGTGAGTTCCGACAGATGCTCGGAATCTATAGTTTGTCCCTGTAAAGAAAAGTAACACCATGCATTATCTGTGTACAGATTTTATATATTAATTATTAGCACCGTGTAAGACGTTTCAAATTACCCATTCTCTCGTTTTGCTCAATGTAACTTCCTTATCCTTCTTCTTCCTCCTGCTGTTGCTTTTCTGCTTTTTTTCGGCCCTTAAGAATTTCAATAGAGGCATAGTGGACCCACCGAATATTAAGGTCGTAAACAATACGATGATGAGCGTCGTTGTTATAATAACGTGGCGCGTTTCATCGCTGAAATCCAAATGGAGCGACAATGCGTACGAAATAGCACCGCGCAGGCCGCTGAACCACATGATGAACATCATCTTCCTCGTGATTTGATGCTCGCGGAAACGATTGACGAGTAAGGCCAATGGAAAGATATTGGCGGCTCTTCCAATCAGGCACAGGATCACGGACCAAACGACTAATGCCGGCTCAAACTGTCGAAGAGAAAGAGAGATTTAATCGAACAAATTTAAACTATAATTTAAATTATAAAAACTGTAATATCGGTAAGTCACACACGATTCTCTTACCCTATGTCTAAAGCTAAACAATGCTAATCCCAAGTATGCGAAAACGCAGGTTTCAGCGATGAAAGCTAACGTTCGCATTGTCTGCTGCATTGTAATCTGCGTAACAGTCGACAAGTTGAAATGCGTGTAGTGCGACATGACTATTCCGTTGAACAGGATCGCCATAATTCCTGCAACAACGGATCAATGTGAAACAATTAGGCGATAACACAATTGTACGATAAAGAAACTTTCTGTGTAATCACAAACGTTTACCTGACAGCTGTATGCCTTCTGCTAGAACGTATGGAGCGTATGTGAACACCAACATTATGCCAAACTCCAAAGACGGATTCTTCCTGAGGTCTACATGCTTCAACAGCAGCGCGCTTATCAAAGCGAACACCACGCCGATCCCCGCCGACGCGAAGAACATAAGGCAAAATCGATTCAGGCCAAGTATGATAGCCTCGCTGGTCGTCGCCGCGTTGTTGGACTCCAGAACGGAGGTGGTCAACACGATGGAAATAGCGTCGTTCAGAATCGATTCACCGAAGACCAGCATGTTCAGGACTGGGTCGACGTCCAGTGCGTGAAAGATCGCGACCGTGGCGACCGGGTCCACCGCCGATATCAGCGAGCCGAATGCGAAGCTCTCGACGAAGCTGAGCTTGTATGCCACTTGCGCCAGGCCCAGCAGATATATCCCGGCGCCAATGACGAATGCAGAGATAGCTGTTCCGAAGATGGCGAACACCATGATGCTGCCGATGTTCTGGAAGAAATTTCCCTTGTGCAGATTGTATCCCGACTCGAAGATGATGGGCGGGAGTAGGACCAGGAAAAACGCGGTCGGCGAGAAGGCCTCCTCCTTCCTCCAGTTCGCTATGTTCTGATGCGACATGAGGTTTATGATCATCCCGATCGCGGCGCCCAGGAAGACGATCACCACTGACTCGGGGAGGTACTGGAAATTGGTCTGGAGCATCAGATGTATCAGCAGTATGCCCAGCGCCAGTACGCACAGTACGAAGAATATGGACATGGAGCTGTTGTGCTCCTCCTCGGCGGAGCCCTTGTCGGGGAGGACCGGCTCCGCCGGGGCGACGGTGGTCGTGGTGACGTTGGTCGCGTTGACAGCATCCGGACTCGGCGACGGGGACACGGAGATGTCCGATGTGTTCCTGTCGCCGATGGGACTCGGCGACGTTTTCTCGGTCGTCTGGTAACTCGCGGGTGCACCGTCGGGCTGCGCCGTGCTCGCGGTCGCAGTCGATGACGGCGATGGTTGTGGTACTGGTGGTTTCGCAGTGGTCGTCGTACTGACATCGTGACTGACGACGCGGCTCGTACCGTTCGCGGATCGCGCCGTGCTAGACACGTCAGCTGACACGCTGACATTCGCCGTAACGTTCGGTGCGGCCGGAACGTCCGTCACCGCGGACGCGGTCTTGTTCTCGATGATGATCCCGCTCGTGCTTAGGTTAGCCGTGTCCTCGCCGTGTGACACATGCCGCGATACATCGCACAGCAGCAAGATCCCGACGACGAGGCTCCACCTGCGCGACAATACGCAACGTGCTCGAAACGTCATTTCTCAACGATGTAGCATTATCTCGCAGGTAGCAGAAGACGGCTCGCAGCTCTCTCCTCTCTTTTTTCCTCTTTTTTTACAAGATGCCAAATGTTCGACGCTAGAGCTCGGTAAAGTCGCAAGAATTCTGACGTCAGAGAGAAGCATGAGAGCGGCCATCCCGACCTTTTACGTGGGATCGTCGGAACTTCCGTACACTATCGCCGTTACATCCATTTTTTTAAATAGGTACTACGTAGCTACAACCATTTTCTGACATATCCAATATCCATTATATCCGTAAAGCCCGTATTAAAAGATTTAAATTGAGATTGGATTGGAATTTAATCATTCAAAGCAAATTTTACTAAACTTGAGACTGCCAGACTGATTTTTCTTTCTTCTGATTGGTTATTAAATTCCAATTTAATTTTAATCTGATACGGGCTTAATTAAATAAAACGTGTGCGTTTTCGTGCTACTAGATCAGAAGTGATATTATATCTTATATAAAAATCAGTTCACTCTATAATGCAACATGAATTATAGATTTTCAATTCTGGTACACACCCACACAGAACAAAAATGCAGTATGTATGTACATACATACATACATACATGCAGTAATGTGCAGTACATCGGAATGTAGCTGAACGTACGTCTGTTAATAAAACACATTTAACTTCAAATGTATTTTGTTGCTATATATATGCGAGTTAATATTTTAAACATAAGTAAATAATTTTCAAAAGATTTAAATATTCAGACGCTTATTTCAACGATACAAAAAGTTTTAAAAAATAGAGGAAATTAAAAAAGAGAAAAGAAATTAAAAGGAAGAAAGGAAAAAAGAAAGGAAGTAAATATATAAGGAAAGAAGGAAGAATTTTTTTTCTTTTTTGCTCCACCGGCTGATGGATTATGATGAAATTAATTTAAGCCACAGATTTGCAGTGTTATAATTATAAGCGAACTTTATTAAACGCAAAGGTTTTACATGTCATCAGTGACAAGATTGTTTATACAAGAGTGAGTGTGTTTCTTTTTAATAAACAATATACGTAACCCAGAAGAAAGGAATAAAAGAATATAAAAGACAAAAGATCTTGCAACTAACTTGTCTCTTATAAAATACAATAAATACAAAATTATTCTCTACAACACTATCCCTTAATTTTGCATTTTTTTTAAATTTTTATAAACCTTTAATTTTTTTTAAATTTTAACTATATATATATTTTTAATAACAGTTAAAGTTTTAGTTTACTAAATTAAGTTTATGTTCTTGAAATTTAATCCGTGCTAAAGGGTTAGTAAAAATATCTGCAATTTGATTATCTGTTGAACAATAATGAATAGTCGCGATTTTATCTTTTACAATATCATGTATAAAACGATATTTAATATCAATATGTTTTGACCTATCATTAATTACTCCGTTTTTAATCATTTTAATCGTGCTTTGATTATCTATATGAATTTTAAGCTTTACCGTTTTATTTATCAATTCTTCAAGTAAAGATTTTATGTAAATTAATTCTTTGCAACAATGTGCTGCTGCAACATATTCCGCTTCAGTACTTGATAGAGTTACTATCCCTTGTTTTTTGGAACATCACGCAATAGGTCCTCCACCGTAGAATATAACATAACCCGTTGTACTACGTCTGGTTTCAGGATCTCCAGCAAAGTCCGAATCTGTATAGGCTTCTATTAAATCTTCGTCAGCATCTGTCTTATATTTTATTCCTTGATTGACGGTTCCGTTGAGATATCGCAAAATCCGTTTTATATTTATTATCTTCTCTTCAGTAGGATTTTCGACATAACGACTGGCATATCCAACTCCATATGCCAAATCTGGTCTGGTTTTACTAGATAAATACAAAATACTTTCAACTGCCTCACGATAAGGATAATTTGTGTTTTTCAACTCATTTATTACATTATTATTGAATTTCTGCATTGGTGTTGCAGTTGGTTTTGAATTTTCCATTTGATACCTTTTTAGAACATTTAATCCATATAATTCATTTGAGTTAGTTTTAATCCATCCTCTTTTCTATCTATTTCCATACCAATAAATAACTTAGGATCCTTTTCTATTGTCACCTGAAATTCTTTTTTAAGTTCTTTTAATAATTTTTCCATTTCTTGTAAATTTTCACCAACTAAAATTCCATCATCTACATAAATGCCTAAGATTAAATTATTACTTTCTTTTACAAACAAACATTGTTCTGTTTTTAATTGTTTAAATCTATTGTTTTTTATGAAATTGGAAAAACGACGATTCCAAGATAATGAAGCTTGTTTTAGACCATATAAAGCTTTATTTAGTTTGCATATTTTATTTGAATAATTATATCCTTCAGGATATTTGCATGTAAATATTTTCGTTTAAGTTTCCATAAAGAAAAGCAGTTTTAATATCAAAAGTAATCATTTTATAATTTCTTATTGTTGTTAAAGCAAATAATATTCTTAAAGCTGTTGTACTTACAACTGGACTATACGTTTCTTCAAAATCTATTCCATATCTTTGTTCATAACCTCTTATTACTAACCGTGCCTTGTATCTACCATCTTGTTTTATTTTAAATAACCATTTACTTGTTAATGGCTTGACATCTCGCACTTCCGATGGATCTACTAATTTCCATGTATTATTTATTTCAAGTGACCTCTTCTCCTCTTCTATAGCTTTCTTCCATTTATCACATTCAGGCCCTGAAACAGCTTGTGAATATGTTAGAAAAACGTAATCATTATATTTATCTGGAAGTTTTCTATTTCTCTGAGATCTTCTTTGTTCTTGTTTATCTTTTTCTTTTGGATCCTGTTATATCTTCCTCTATTATATCTTTTCTTTCTTGTCTTTCTGCTTTACTATCCTGATTTCTTGTTTCTTGATCTCTTCTTTCTTGATTTCTTGTTTCTTGATCTCTTCTTTCTTGATTTCTTGTTTCTTGATCTTCATAACCTGCATCTTCATAAACTGAATCACCTGAATCATCTGAATGATTTTCTATTTCATTTTGATACTGTTCTTCATTTTCTCTTTCTGTTTCCTCTTCATTTTCTTCATCATTCATTTCTGTTTTACTTAAAATATCAAAATTTATTGTATTGTTATCTTTTTCCTTTTTTGTTATATTTCCAAATTTCACATCTCTTGCAATATGTATTTTTCTTTTATTTGAGTCCCAAAGTCTATAGCCTACTGGTGCATATCCTACAAATATATATTTTTTACAACGTTCATCTAACTTCTTCAATGGACCAAGTATCTTCGCATAAGCATCGCAACCAAATAACTGAAGTCTTCTTAAATCTGGTCTTCTATGTTCCCACATTTCAATTGGAGTGCATTCTGTTGTAGTTGTTGGTGACCGATTAAGCAGATATGTTGCTGTATTAATAGCTTCTCCCCACATTTCCTTCTTCAAGTTGGAATCAAAAATTAATGATCTTGCCTTTTCCATTAATGTTCGATTTAAACGTTCAGCTTTACCATTTAACTGTGGTGAATAAGGAACAGTAAAATCAATCTCTATCCCCTTTTTTTTACACCAATTCTGCACATTTGAATTTGTATATTCACGTCCATTGTCACACCTCATTTTTGCTACTTTCATATTCCAGTATGCTTCAACTTTGGCTACGTATTCTTTTATTACTTCAAATACTTCATATTTATTCTTTATCAAATAAACAATTGTAAGATGAGTAAAATCATCTAGAAATGTTATATAATACCTTTTTCCATCCCAGGTTTCCGGATGAATAGGACCACAGATATCCGTATGAATGATTTCTAATGGTCTCTGTGCTTTTCTTCTTATTTCTTTAAATGGTAGTCTTGTATGTTTTGCTTTTAAACATGTTTCACATATATCATTACTTTTTCCTAGATCTATATTCTTGAAATTCATTCCGTCTGACATCTTCTGTAACTTTTTAATTGCTTCAACACTTGCATGTCCTAACTTTCTATGCCAAATTTTAATTTCTTCATTTACTTCTTCTTCTTCTGTCAAATTTGACATTTCTCTTATTTCCTTTTTAAAATTTACTTTGTATAAACCCTCTTCAGTTTTTCTTCCCTTTAATACAAGTATATCATTTTGTTTTACATATACCTGTTTATTTGTAAATGTAACTGTTCCTCCATTGT